TATAAAATAGTAAAATAGAGAGCTGGAAAGAAGTTCTGTACGAAAAAGCCTGGCATTTTGTGTCATCAAATTATCGATGTGCTTCGGATGCCATGCCTTCCGGATTCCCTTGACCTCAAAAGCCACAAATTTAGCAAATCTAGAATAAGGAATGTACCAGAATCTTTTACAGGAATCACCAACAAAGCTATATCCCTATTCACCTTGCCAATCAATGAATGAAAAGTATTTGAAGAGTGAGGCAAAATTAGCCATGAAAACCTAGGTAAGGGAGTAAAACAATGGTCAAGCGTATTTTCAGAAAGGCTCTCGTCGTCATCAAAAATTGAGTTTGGAGGGCGATATAATAAAATAAACGTAAATCCTGTAGATGAAAAATCGTCAAATCCTCGAAGGCAAAGGGTCCTGTCTTCAAACGAGGGTAGTCATGGTCGCTTAACTTATCAAGTTCTTGGCTAGGAAACACACTCGACCACCTCTAAACCTTGTTCGGTCAATGCGATGAGCAGTATACGAACGACCTGACAGGTTTTAAGAACCTTATATTTTCGCTGCCAGAAAAGTTGCCGTAATCAAAAGATCTCGGTTGTAGGCATCAAGAAAATACTGAAGGTGATGAAATTTGTTGCAGAGACTTATAGAACTGGATAGGCAACATTTCATTCCGGGTGGTTTCCTGATTTCCGCGACTTAGAGACACGGGTGTTTAGCTTGTCATTTCGCTGCTTACACTCCAGCCAGAACTTTTCACTAAAGGGCGCTCTGCAGGTTTCAGGCTCTTCCGCACGCATACTTTTGATAAGCTGGAAGCGCGTAAGCGGTGATTTTTGGAGAGCGCCGTGATCCAGTGGTTCCTCTACGGCGGCAGAAGTGCCTTGGGATGGTTTGGGCATATCAAATGGTAAGGGTTCCAAGAGATGTCGGCAGTGTGAGAGCACGACCTTTTTGCTATATTCGGCTGATCCGTGCTCCCTTATAATGGTTGGTTCGTGCATAATTGACACACACACTTCACCTGTCGATTCTCGATCCCGGATATCCATGAACCAAAACCAAAGTGAATTTTCTCACGCGCCAAAACCCCGACAGTGATCATAATGTCTCTTGTTCTCTATAGTTTGCGAATTGTTGGTCTAAGCTTGAGAAAAAAGTCATATTTCTGTTCAAAACCCGGTAGACGCCATGTTTTTACGAAGCGCATACGTTTTCTTGCTTCCCAAGTAAGTTTTCTGATGATCAGAGAAAATTGCGCACTGCTCCGCAAGTATTTATGCTAAGCTCTGTCAACGATCGAAAAAATGTAACTTGTCTGGTTATTCGGAATTCACCTAGGCTCCCGATATCGCCCCTAAGCACAGCAAACTGATTCTCAATTTATTCCCATAAAGTAAACTTTGAAATTCGCACAGTTTGAATCCATTTTCAAGAAGATGCTCGGTGATATGAAATCGATCCACGAATTTCACAGAATTTACACCTTTAGTACCGCTTTTCTACCCTTCCCATTCTGTCTGCCACCCAATCGGCTCTCTGGCTCAGCTGGCTAAAACAGAGTATTGATTGAGCATGTTGAGATGTACACCTTCGACCAATAAGAATTCGTTATTTTTGTCTGATGCTTACGAATTTCAAACAAGTGCATCGACAACATTTTTAGGAAGAAGTGCGTGCATTTATTGAAACTCTCCACATAATCTAGACTTTATGGAGTGTTTGTGAATATTTTCATGTTTGCAACGCAATTCGTGTAATGTAGAAAATTTGCAATATTTTTAAACTCATCAATGAGTGAAGTTGACTGCATTTGAATGTGAAGATTGTGCAGCAGTACATCATCTTAGACTGCGGCATCATCAATAGAGAGGCTGTGGTTGAGGTGCAAAGAAACTCCTTTGCTAATTGCGCAGAGGTTGCGAGACAACACCTGGGATCATTTCAGTTACTGTAGCCAGATTCTGTGAAGAAGACTGCGCATCTATTCATTAACAGACGTATGTGAGATGAAAACAATCAGATTCAATTTGGAAATAAGATCATCATTTCATAGAATAAAACTCAAAAGTATGACCTAATCTCGGTGACGAATAAAGTATATGTTCTTATTATTCTCAACCTTGCATATACATTGGATTGTCGAAAAATCTTTGCACATTGTGCAATTTTTTTTCAATTCCAATTTTATTCTTCACAACAACTAACAATTAATAAATATATGCAACATCGTTAACGTTGTTAAAATTCTTCTGCCGTTTGAGGTTCTCAGGAGTAGCACTTTATTGGATTGAGGGCGTAACGTTTTGACGTAATCGTCGTCTTCAAAGGCCTAAACGCAATCGGAGATGGTTTAATATCCAACAGCTTTTGATCTCCCTAGCAAAACAATGAAACTCATCGCAGAACTACGTTCACCATGAAATGATCACCAGACTCCATCGTTGAGGTTGATCCGCTGTCGCCACAGGCGACTGTCAGTAGTGAACGAGACTTCTAGATGTCTCCCTATCCTTATGATAAGAGAGATCACGTTCCCATGCTACTGACTACGAGTCATAGCTTGCAGAGCGGTAAGTGTAGTAAGAGGTCCCTGATTATTTACAAACACTCAGCCGCTATTATCGAGCGCTTCACACGAAATTGTAGCCTTTGTGTTCCACGAATTTACGTGCGCTGTCAAAAGGTTTCCACTCCCTTCACGTGGTATCTCCCGTGTTAGTTTGATGCATTGTGACTGTTCATTCATAAGTGGGTAACACTTGTCCATTTCGATCAGCGTAGACATTATGATGAAGCAGCCGCCTATATGCCTGCAGTACATTGGAGAAAAACGTTCCGACGGCTTTTTGATTCTATCCATAAAGCAATCAGCAAGAACCGGTGTCAGCCTTCGACCCATAGCAAGCCCTCTCACTTGGAAGTATTTCTCTGATATTTAGAGATGTTGCAGTTCAAGCATTCCTTTACTGACGTCATTTCACGCTACGAAGTACAAAGATATTAATCGCCATGTTCGACTCTCAATGAACCTCGGCATAGTTCCAACACAGCTTTATTTTAGTCAAATGAACACGAGGTCAAATATTACAAATCCGTCGGCTAATGTTTAGGCGATTTTCGCTTTCTTCGGAGCCTAAAAAAGGTAGAAACCAGCCTATGATTTATTCGATCGAAGTCGCACCCCCACAAGACCTTCGAGACCAGTTAGCCATCACGTAATTAATAGTTAGATAAAAACTGTACCTTCTCGAATAACAGGATCAGCCCACAGGGACGGCAATAGTACCGTATACCAGGCTGATCGAGTTCACGGTTCCGGCTAGAAGGCTGACCTCGTATAGAGGCTCAGTTCCCGCGTTACTGGCACACATTCTCTCCTCTGCTTGGATGCCTGACCCGAATCCAGAATACCTCCTGGGTTTTGTGCGCGGCTGTCCGGGTTTCGCGCGCTACGACCTCGACGATTTCCTCGAAATCATCTCCATTAAAAGATTCAAACCTGTGACAACCTAGAGCAGTAAATGGCCGCGACGTCGCCTTTCCCTCCAAATGCTCCCTAACACAGACGTAAAGCTTTGTAGCTGTTTTCCCTATATTTTCGTCTCCACAATTTTGACGGAACCCTATATAAGGTTAGCCTTCTAGCCGGAGCCGTGAACTCTGATGAGCCTGGTATACGCTACTATTGGGTTGTCCGAAAAGTCCGCCGATTTTTGACACCCCGGATTTGTCAACCGTTGTACAAGAGATAAAGGACCCAACCTAATAAAGTTACATGTTTTCTGAAGAACAGATCCTCCTTCCTCTATATTCCTGTTAGAACTCAGTCAACATTTGTCGAAGTTTGTCTGTACAGGACTCGTATGAAAATGGAGAACCACTGCGCGCATTTTCGACATCTGAAGTATTTCTCCTACCGCAAGGCCTAGAATGCGGCTCAAGCCGCATGAAAGATATATGACCTTTGAGTAGACCATGCCTTACAAGGAAGGACTTTCAGGGCGTGGGACGCTTTTTGAAAATGGTTTTTTGCATGGTATAGGGGCATGAGCACTGAGTATAGAACTATGGTCCATTTCCGCTAAATGGCCTTCTGAATGCCAAAAAACGAGTGAAAATAATTTTTTCGAAAATCGCCGTTCTAACCCTCTAAGAGTCGTTTGTTTCATTCACGGCGACGACTGTCCGTACAGTAGAAGACGCCAGTTGACTGCGCACTGAAAATAACGTGAAAGGTAGCCAAAAAAGGGGCCCACATGTTGAAACAAGCTGAAAAGTGCGGGGAAGCTTCATATATGCTCTCCACGGCCTAGCTGCCAGCAGCGACGGATGGTGTGGTGGATAGCGATGTGGACTTCGAACTGGGACGGTTGGACTGGGTTGATGGTTCGGATCTTCGAGGCTTCGCCGTTTTTGCATTTTGTGCTGCCACCTCCAGATTGGCTCCTTATTGCACCAGGACCAAAGCAAGTGCCTGACTGGTCATGGTCGTGAACAGAACCAGCAATATCCTAGACGTACTGGCGCCGATATCAACAATGAATGATTCGCTTCTGTGAACACTGGACTTGACAACCCTCGCAGAGCAGAATATGGAATTGCTCAAGACTTCTTCGATGTGCAAAACATTCAACTTATTGCAAGCAACTTATCAACAAGTATGATACAACTCTACAATACATGTGAAGCACTGTTGTCTGCCACACCAACTGCACTTCACGAATGCCAAGGAAGGGCAGTTTCTGTTTCCTTGGCAAGTGCCAACCACATCTCCCCCGTTGAAGGCGTGGTCAGATGGCGTTGAAAATGGTCCTGGGAGGTCGTCAACGTATCCTGCGGCCACCCAGGCGTACGCCAGGCATGGGCGAAAGACGGGGGCACAAAACTGCCTATACGTCTGGCTGACGATCTGCACGAAAACTAATAGGTGGAAGGTTACCTATTATTTTTGACACAAAATCCTTACCTTGAGGACGTTGTCTCTGGTGAAGGTGAAGTCAGGGTGATTATGCGCCACGTGATCGTGGAGCATAATCGCCCTGATGTACCGCTTGAAGAGTCGGAAGAAGTACACATCCAGAGGCTGACACAGTCGCTCCCGGTGGAATAGTCATCAAACGGAGCTCCTTGTCTTCAGGGACCTCTGACAACACATTGGTGTGGTCCGCAAACCCAGCCCAGCTGTCGACAAGAAGTACTGTTAGTGGAGGGGACGATGGCCCAACCACACACTCCTTGACGAAAGCTGGAACTTGCGACTTCGTCATGAAGTGAGTCTTTCCGGCTAACACCAGCAGGTTTGGTGCCTGCCAATGTCCCGTCTGCGGGAAGACTCCTTTTTTCTCGGGAAGAATAACAAGCAGTTTCTCCCCTAGCCGTCCGTCTGCATATATCACTGGCATGGCAGTGAACGAGTGTGTGAGCGAGGAAACAGACTGCACCACTCGCATGACCTGCCTTGAGCCAACCGGTGCCAACGTTCTGTAATGAAGAGATCATCAAAGCGAAAGTAGTTCGTGCTTAGGATTACCTTCCCGACGCCAATTCTTTGTTGATTCCCGAATGATCCGCATTGGCAAAGGCAGATAGAGGGAACTTCTTCATCTCCTCCCTTACGCGTTTTACGAAATCAGTCGCCGAAAACGCGTGACCCGCCTCGATCGTAGCCCACATTCTAGAACAAATTTGGCAATCCATGATTTGGATGCCCTGAAGTCTTCATTGAGCCTGTGCTCACGATTCAGGCGAACAGCCATGTGCCGAACTATGGCGTACGACAACGTGAGTCTTAGAAGGCCAATTTTGTCAACGTGCAAGTTACTTTCCAGACAGACATTCAAAACCATACCTTGCTCGGTTGCTTCCATCACTTTTTCTCGAAGAAGAGCAGAGAGGCGTTTGAAATTGAGCACCCTCAATTCTTCAACCACTCCTGGATCGAAAAAATGGGAAGCTGATAGACCTTCGCTGATTCATCAGTTTAATTTTTTTAGCAACTGCCATTGTGTACCTCTTTTTTCGATTTCACGAAGCAAATTTAGATGCCGTTCAGTTCTGATCCACTTGAACCGGTTCGTCATGGACGCTAAAGAACGGGTACCCTTGTCCGTATCACGGTAATGGGCAATGGCGCGGCGAATCTGTCGAGATACAGCAATTCACTTTGAGCTTTTGTTAGACAGTGCTGAAACTAACAGTTTCTTGAGAAATGGGTCTGCCGTCGAAAAAAATGCTCCTCTGGGCTGGAATTTCAGTGTTGCTTCTGCCATCGTCGTCATCCTCTGGAGTTCAGCTCTTCTTTTTCGTCCAAAGATGCCTATAAACTGTTGCAATGCAGAATCTGCTTTGCTCCCAACTACCCGTGTGAGGTTTACCTGAAGCACCTCCTCTTCTTCCTCATATTCGACGTCGCCATTTTCTGCGCCTCGAAGAATCGCACTGAACGCGTCGACGATTGCGATCTCCTTTCTCTTTGGAGGAGAAAAATCAGGCGTGAAAGAGGATAGTAGCCGGCCAATAACTCCAGCTGGTGAAAAAGCCATGCCGAGATTGATAATGGGTACAGTGGTAGAGTTGTAATGGTTCGTAAATTAGAAAGTAGAAAGTAAGTAAGTAAAATAAGAGAATGTTCTGCACATCGAAGAAGTCTTGGGCAATTCCATATTCTGTTCTGCGAGGGTTGTCAAGTCCAGTGTTCACAGGTGCGAATCATTCATTGTTGATATCGGCGCCAGTACGTCCAGGTTATTGCTGGTTCTGTTCACGACCATGACCAGTCAGGCACTTGCTTTGGTCCTGGTGCAATAAGGAGCCAATCTGGAGGTGGCAGCACAAAATGCAAAAACGGCGAGGCCTCGAAGATCCGAACCATCAACCCACTCCAACCGTCCCAGTTCGAAGTCCACATCGCTATCCACCACACCATCCGTCGCTGCTGGCAGCTAGGCCGTGGAGAGCGTATATGAAGCTTCCCCGCACTTTTCAGCTTGTTTCAACACGTGGGCCCCTTTTTGGCTACCTTTCACGTTATTTTCAGTGCGCAGTCAACTGACGTCTTCTACTGTACGGACAGTCGTCGCCGTGAATGAAACAAACGACTCTTAGAGGGTTAGAACGGCGATCTTCGACAAAATTATTTTCACTCGTTTTTTGGCATTCAGAAGGCCATTTAGCGGAAATGGACCATAGTTCTATACTCAGTGCTCATGCCCCTATACCATGCAAAAAACCATTTTCAAAAAGCGTCCCACGCCCTGAAAGACCTTCCTTGTTAGAGGAACGTGCAGTGCATGACTAATTTGCGGAATCCAAATAGAGTGAATTCGCCTTCGAAGACCGGCACCCCTTAAGGAGACTACCATCAGTTTAAACGATCAACTCAAAATGTTATCCGAAGCAAATCGGCACATCACTGCTCGAGGAGTAGGACAAGGGCTTAGTGTTTCGAAATTAACCATCCATGGTCATCTGCAGACACATGGTTTTGTAAAGCGCCTTGATGTTTAGATACCTCGCCAAAGGGGCGATCTCAATGCGATGGACCGCGCCTCAATGTGCGACTCGTTGCTCGAACGAAACGAAAGTGAGTCGTTTTTGAAACGGATGAGCACAAGAGAATAAATCGGGTTGTGTACAGCAATGGGGAGCGGAAACGATCGTGGAGCCCTCTAGTGAGCCGTCGCAAACCGCTGCAAAAGTCAAAATCC